CCGCTAAAGTTTAAATCTGGCGATGGTGATAAACCAGGTAAGAATGATAGTGTAAACCCCTCCGAAACGGTCAATCCGGACAAAGAAGGTAAGGAGAGCCGTCGCAAGGGAAGAGACGATAACTCCGAATCTCAGGAAGAGACTTGCATAAAAGCGAAGGAGAAAGAGGAAAGCGGTAGGAAGGAGAGCAAGCTACAAACTACTCTCACGAAGAAGCTAGGGAGTCATAGTATTTCAGGCGCACTGTGGCGCCCAGTTAAAATATTATGTGATCGGCCAACAACAGCCCAACACGTGATTATACCGGTGAGAGAACGTATCAGTTCGAACCCTTCATACATGCATGTGACCACTGGCGAAGACGACCGTACATATGTCGAATTTGTGTCGCGCTTGGTGGTGGCTGATATTAATGGTAAACTACCTTTGTATACCACCTCAGAAAAGATATACCTAACTGCACTTGATGCACCTGGATCATACCAAATTGAAATGAACACTACACAAGTGGTAGATTCAATGGACATGGCATCAGCGGACCGATTCTTTGTAGCTGGTGTCATACAGGGAAATAATATAGCTTCAGCTTTACATGGTAAAGTTTCGGCCTCATTAGGTTTCAAAATATCCCGAAAGCTGAACGACAATCTACTGCGTGTGAATAATGCTAGTTTTTATGGAGTTGGATACATCCTATTTTTCCAAAGATATATATATGAATTAAGAAATATATCACCGTGCATATTAGACGCAACGGCAAGTGCGTTGGTTAAGAGAAGATTAGACGTGACCCCCAATCAGGAGAATGCGCTGGCCGATCGTATGAGCGCTGATATAACGGAAGGTAGATTTGTTTGGTTTGCAGACGAGCTCAATGCTGGAGATATTAACGTGTTGGGATTGATAGCCTCGGGGTTGCCAAGGTTTACGACTCCGGAACGACATGACTGGAAGTTGTGTTCAGAAAGTGTTACTTGCGAGCCGATACGGATGGTATTATATGCATCAGATGCGGCTGAGCTACCTAGACTTAGGGACGCATCATCGTGTCAAATCAGAAGTAGTCTGCACAGATTGGCGGATTTAAGAGGTGACGAGGTGTTTGAAATGGAAGGCTGGTTTCGGGCTTGTATGGTAGTATTTGGTCGGGCCTTGAATAGAACGGAAGAGGGGACAGCCCGGGTACTTTCGGATTATATGGATTCATGGTTACAAATTGGTGGTTGTGATTGGCCGCTACCAATGGATTATAATTGGCTATGGAGAGCGCTCAGCATTGCTTATCCTTTGGCGAAACATTCTGAGCTCAGGCCTGAGATAAATAGTTTGAGAAGTTGTTTTGCGGACGAGTTTCTCAAGTTAAGTGTGACTACTAGTACGCTTCTTTCAATCGGAGTCAGTGTTACCCTGAATATGTTTAACATTACAGGCAAAGTTATGAATGCGATGAGCCCCGGAGTGGATGCTAGCATTTCATTGTGGTTGGGTAGTTTGTTTGATAACTTGAGGGGTAAACCTGAAATACCGTTGATTATGCAATCGGCTATGCAATTTTTAACGGATTTCACTAATTTGACTTTCAATGATTCTTTCTTCATTGGTAGAGGATGGAATCTTAGAAATAAACATGTACTGCACTGGGGTGAAAATGCTAGCTGGCGTGGCACGTGGGGAAATAAGATCCCGTATATTGTAAATCCTTTGTGTTTAAGTTGGATTTGGAATGCGTGGCCTGATATTTGGGGCATTATGGGTGCGCCAATTGAAGTCGATTTGAGAGCAGAATTGTATCTGCAAGGTAACGGGTGGATAGCTGATAAGGGTTCTATGGATTATGCAAGACATGCTAAAGAGAAGCAAGCCTTCAAAATGGTGTCGTACGGATTACATGTTGTTAATGCATTGCGGCAGTGGTCGAGAGCAACTAGAGTTTGGGCGATAACGTGGAGGTGTTTCACCATTAATGCAATGGATGAACTGGTGAAGGTCACTGATAGTGACGAGTTACAACCGACTTGGGTTGATGTTTTGGGTATAGCTGAAATAGGGTCGTGGTTGAGCTATGACTGGTTTACCGGGTATGTATTGGTACCAAGCATAAAAGAGACAGGCTTTGACGCAGCTGTGTGGACGGCAATGATTACAATACAGGTTATTAAGATGATGAACGCCGGTATTAGCCTGCCTCTAAAGGCCATGCCAACAATGCTGTCTAATAAGTTAGGCCCACGTGCACTATTGCGTGTGAGTAGTAAGTTGCACAAATTGGCGCTAGATGAGGATGATGAAAGCGGAAACAAGCCAGGACGAAAAAACTAATGTACTCCAGCATCAATACCATTCATTCATTCAAATCACATCTGTCTCCCATTTGCCCATTACCATTCATCATCATCCCATACCCATCATTCATCATCATCCCCAAATCCCTATTTGATTATTGCAAAAACTGTAAAGATCATATCAAATATAATAACAAATGGGAATATCTTGCATTTAATAAATGAGAATATCTTGTATTTATAATTTCGAATTAATGCTTATTTTATTTTATTGAGATATTAGTGGTATTTCGAATTAATGCTTATTTTATTTTATTGAGATATTAGTGGTATTTCGAATTAATTCTTATGTATAATTAGGTTGAATGAGAATTATCGTGTAAATATTGTTGAGAATGAAAAAATAAAACGTTAAAAAGTGGTAAGAAAGATAGAGCTGTTTTATATTTTTTTTTGTTGATAATATAGGAAAATATTAAAGTATAATTCATAGGGAAAATGTGAATGTTATTTAGATAGAAATAAGATAACGCAACATATAGTATTAAATGTTTTATATTAGTGATAATTGGGGGGGGGGGGGTAATCTTATGTTATTTTTAAAAAGATGTAAAGCAACACATATTGTATTATATTTTTCGTAATGTAATGGTAAGATGAAAAGATATTGATTTTTTTTAGGTTATTCATATAGTATTATGTGTAAATAGAAAAGGGAATAATAGGTTTATTGTAAAGGAAAATTTTTGCTTGGGGTATTAGATCAATTAAGATTGGAAGGAATTTTTGAAGGTTGATTTTGAGTTAATTTGTATAAAATGTGAGTAAATTTTATAGATGATATGTTAATTTCATATTCATAATATGGTAATAAAATTTATTTAAAATGGAAATTATATTCAAATTAGTAAGGGATAAGATTTTGTTGGAGTTGGTTAAAAAGATAAATAATTGGTGGGGGGGGGGTATATTTAATTGTAATTATTGTATAGGAGAAATTCTGTTTTGTAGTTTTGTTATGGTAAAGGTTGTATGATTTTAAATGTAATTTTGGTTTATTTTTGATTGTAATTGGATGTTTTGGAAATGTTTGTTGTGCATTGAAAGTATTGATGAATGTAATTTTGGTTTATTTTTTATTGTAATTGGATGTTTTGGATATGTTGTGCTTTAATTGTATTGATTATTTGTTCGATTGTTTGTTTTTTTTTATTTATGTAAAATAAATTGTCTTATGTAAATTTTGATGGTAATGAGGGGAAAATGGAAGGAATGTATGTTTGTATATATATATATAATTTAATAATATTTAATTGTTAATGAGTGATTGAAAATATATATATATTTAAATAATTTATTTGGTGGTAACCAATTAGAATATGGTGTTTTTAAATATTTTTTTTATGAATGAATGTAGCAAGAAATGATTATATATTTATGTATAGTTTTTGTAAACAATGTTATATATGTATAAAATTATTGATATTGGTATTGTCAAAATGTTGTTTTAAAAAAATAAAGAAAAGAAGAAAAAAATTTAAAAAAAAGAAAGAAAAATTTAAAAAGAAAGAAAGAAAAATTATATAAAAAAAGGAAAAAATTTTTAAAAAAGAAAGAAAAAAAAGAAAAAGATAAAAAAGAAAATTAAAAAAAAAGAATGAAAAATTTTTAAAAAAAAAGAAGAAAATAGAAATGTATTTTGAGGTTAGATGGTTAATGGGTAAAGATGGGAGGTGAAATGTTCAATCAAGATTGGAGGATGAGTAATGAGGAAATCACAATGATAATGATACAATACAGGATCAAAGGAAGGGATGGAGAAGGTTGCGAATGAAACAAGATGGAAAATGATTTGGAGAACAATGGTGAATTAGATGTAGGGATGAAGAATGGTACTGGGCAAATGATTAACAATGGCAATGGTTTTATTTGATTTGTAATGAGCTAGTTTGATTTGAGGAATGATGAAGAATTGTAATGGTAATGGTCAAATGGGGATTTGAGGATGATGATGAATGCTATGGGCGAATGGGAGTCAGATGGGATTTGAATTAATGGAATAGTATGATGCTGGAGTACATTGGTAATGGACAAATGGGATTTGGTTGAATGAATGAAATAGTATGATGCTGGAATACATTGGAATGGTATGAGGAGTACATTGGTAATGGGCAGATGGGATTTGGTTGAATGAATGGAATGGTATGATGCTGGAATACATTGGTAATGGACAAATGGGAGGCTGATGGGATTTGGTTGAATGAATGAAATAGTATGATGATGGAATACATTGGAATGGTGTGAGGAGTACATTGGTAATGGGCAGATGGGATTTGGTTGAATGAATGGAATGGTATGATGCTGGAATACATTGGAATATGATGCTGGAGGGTGAATGTGAGATGGAAAAATGAAAAATTGTTTGTAAAGAGGGAAGGTGTCCTGATGACGTTGAAGAAGTGACGGGCTGTCAATTTATTATTAATTTATAGTTTTATATAAAAATACCTTTATGTGGATTTGGTTTATATGATACAATAGATTTAGATAAAATACAAGATAATCTCATCTGTAATTATATTTGATATGATCTTTACAAAAACAATTTCGAATTTTGGAACCCTGATACCGGGTTCAAAACCATGCCTTGGGTTGATACGAATTCAATTCAATTGTTTATCCACAATAAACGCAGGACGCGACCTCATTGCACCCAAAACTAAACGTAGGGCGATGGATATGTGTAATTGTTCATAATCATAAATATTTGACTAAAATAAAGATTAATTTTGACATCTTTCAGGAACAGTCCTAACCACTTTCAAAATGGAATGGAATATATTATTGGCCGTAATGAAACAGGGATGCAAAAGTGTCCTTTATATATATATATATATAATATATTCTTCTTTAAGGAATACCTGGTTAATAGAAAAAATATCAGAGACCTGCAGGCCCGGGCCGGGCCATATTTTAAATTTTTTAAATATACCCGGGCCGGGCCTAAAAAAAATTTTTTAAATATATCCGGGCCGGGCTTAAAAATTTTTTTTTAAATATATCCGGGCCGGGCCTAAGATTGTTAAACCCGGGCCAGGCTGGGCCTTAATATTTTTTATAAAAATTTTTACATTATGAGTTAATGGTTATAAGAATATATTATATTATAGTTATGATTAATATAATATTGGGTGATGGTTAACACACCTAACACCCACAGATCGATCTAATTATTAATTTCCTGCAAATTTATACAAAGTATTAATATATTTTTTTATAATTCATATCTAAATTTTTACAACATATTTTACCAAAACAATCAAATATAGGAATATCTTAAATAAGCCCCAATATTCAAGTATTAATAATATATATTTTTTATAATTCATATTCAAATTTTTTGAATATTTACCAAAACAATCAAATAAAGGAATATCATGCACAAAATACTAATGATATAATTAATAAAATTATAAATAATATTTATTCTTTTAGAAATACAAATAATAATTTAAAATCTGAAATATGGGCTAAATTTAACATCATCATAGATGAAAATAAAAAAAACATTGGCTACGTACAATGTAAGAATTGTTCAAGTATATTATCTTATAATTATAAACATGGTACATCACATCTAAAAAGACATAAATGTGATGGTAAATCCATGAAAATTAATAAATTTTTTTACACCTGACAAACCAACCTATAAATGTAATATAAAATATTTAAAAATTATAAAATAAATTATATAAATATTGTGCAATTAGATTATATTTTCAAAATACTATTTATTATACATGCATTTTTTTAAATAGCGATTTATTTTTATTTTATAAATTAAATAGTAAATTAATTACAATATATTATATTCTCAAAATATTTTCCATTTTTATAAATTAAATAATAGTTTTATTTTTTTTAAATGCAATATAAAATATAGTATATGCTCAAAATATTACCATTTTTATGAATATTAGTTTTATTTTTATAAATGCAAAAAATATAGTATTTGCTCAAAATATCCATTTTTATAAATAACAGTTTTATAATTTTAATAAATTCAATATAATATACTCAAAATATTAGCTTTTTTCTTATTATTTTTTAAATAATAAGCGATAATACTCGCTGAAAAATATGGTAAAATACCTCATGGCTGAATTTTTGTATATACCAGGTCGAATATAATTTTGGCCGTAAAAAATTTTTTTGAAATTTATCCGGGCCGGGCCGTAAAAAAATTTTTAAAAAAATATCCGGGCCTAAAAAATTTAAAACCGAGCCGGGCCGTGCAAATGGTGCCTCTGCAGGTCTCTGAAAAATATTTAGTATTACAATTCGTTGAAATTTTTGGGGATACTTTATAAAAATGATATTCTTTACTTTTATCAATAGCTTTGTGTAGTTTGTTAATATTAATGAAGGCATATTGAGTCAAAGTATATCTCAGTATGAGTAGTTGTATTACTACACTACTAACCTTCTAGAAATGATATCTTGTAAGTAAAAGTATTCTTATAAATCTTTTTCATCTCTTTATTATATATTGAAAACTGTTTTTAAGTAATTTGATTAATTTAATAGCCACTATATTATTTTCTGAATCAAAAAAAAAATTACAATAATTTTAAAGAATTTCTATTGAGTATTCTTTACTCATGAAAGGGCTAAATAAACACATTAAAATTAAATTTACATTCTTACATATAGGAGTTAATAAATAATTTTTTTATAAGAAGCGCCTGTTAAGAAATTTAAGATACGTTGCATCTCTTCTCCGTTTTATGGCGATTTCCAGGTTTACCCGGGTAGGCCAGTTTTCCCTCTGATTTTTCCTTTCCATTTTTGACGGTCCTGAGCATCAATACTTGTAAGATTCATGCTTCTCATATCCGCCGCTATCACATTTGTCCACATCATCTTGGGTCTTCCTCTAGGTCTTAATCCTCCTACTTCTATCATTGTGCATCTCTTTACCCAGTCATCTTTTGTCATACGTTCCACATGCCCAAACCATCTTAGTCTATTTCGTCGCATTACGATTCCAATCATTTCTATACCCAATCTTGCTCGCAATTCCTTGCTAGTTTTTTTCTCTCTCAGAGATACCCCACACATCCATCTAACCATCCTCATCTCTGTTCTTTCTAATTTGACTTCATGAGTCGCTTTCATTGCCCATGTTTCGCCGCCATAAACTAAACAACTCCTCACACAGCTTACGTAAACTTTCCCCTTTAATTTCAAAGAAACTTTTTTATTTGTAAGAATAGACGACATCTCTCTGAACTTCTTCCATGCTTGTCTGACCCTTGCTACAACGGCAGAATCTACACCCCCATCTGCGTTTAGCATATCACCCAAATAACAAAACTTATTCACTTTTTCTAGGGTTAGCCTATTGCCAATATCCAAACCACCATTTTCTACCTTATCATTATTATGTACCCCTTTCATGCACGATCTACAAATAAAAGTCATACTTGATAACATCAAACTTCCTTTTTTTCCAGCTACATCTATTATGTATCCATTTATGGCATCTGGTGCATTAGATTAAATTTATAGCAACTCTTCCCCACATACACCACAGGGCCACTTACTGGATTCCTCTATCTTTAGATTTTCCCAACCAATCATCACCTTTGTCTTTGCTATATTCATTTTCAGGCCTTTGCTTCCATAGCCATCTTCCATTTACTAATTTTATCCCTCAATTCTTCCTCACTGTTTGCCATTAATACAAGGTCATCTGCATATAATAACTCCCAGGGAAGTCCTTCACGCATTTCTCTAGCCACCACATCCATTACTAAGATAAATAATAATGGACTCAGCACGGGTCCTTGATGATGTCCTACCTTCACCTCAAAGCTGTCACTATCACCATAATCCGTCCGTACTGCTGTTTGTGCTCCAACATACATTGCCATCACTGCGGTAACCAACCATTCCTCCACACCTGATTTTCTCAAGGCCCATCTAGTAATCTCACGCGGCACCCTATCAAATGCTTTCTCCAAATCAACAAACGCATAATAGAGTTTCTTTTCCTTCGCAATATACTTCTCCTGAATTTGTCTCACCACAAAAATTGCATCTGTCGTGCCTTTTCCCGATGTAAAACCAAACTGCATTTCATCAATTTTCATTTGTTCCCTTAACCGCTTCTCTAACACTCTCAAAAACTTTCATTGCATGTTCTAAGAGTTTAATAGCTCTGTAAGACCCACAATCTAAAGGATCACCTTTCCCCTTGTACACTGGGATAATTATACTTTTTCGCCAGTCCTCGAGAATAGTACCTTCTGTGACAATTTGATTGGCTAAATTCATTAACCATTCAATTTCTAAATCATCAGAACCTTTAAACATCTCTGATACCTCCATCGTTAAACCCGATGCCTTCCCTTTTTTCATTTTTTTCACTGCTCTCTTTATCTCGTCCTTGCTAAATTTACACCCTGGACCTTCTACCTTTGCACAATTAATATTATTATCCCATTCATTTTCTTCATTCAAAAGTCCTTTCATGTAAATCTTCCAGGTGTTCTTAATACCACTACCATCAACCACCATTTTCCCTTCCATATTTTTCAAACACTTTACACCTATCACATCCTGCCTCTTTTTTGACATCTGTTTTGCCATTCGAACTATATTTCCAATTCCATCAGCGCATTCCATTTCTTTAACAAACTCTTATCTTTTTTCTTCTTGAGCCTTCGCTATTAATTTATATTAGCTATCTTGTAAATATCATTTATTTCTTTGCTATTATACTATACTTTGAAACACCTCCGTTTCTCATCCACGGCTCTTGCTACCTCCGGGTTCCACCACCAAGTCTCCTTATGTCTAGGCGGCCCTTTTGGCCTTCCACATATCTCCTCAGTTGTCATCACCCAGGCTTTCTTCGTGACTTCTCACTTGTCATTCACCCCAGATGCTTGTGACATCTCTGCCTCCCTAATCGCCAATGTCTTATTGAATTGACATCTAGCACTCTCCTCCTTCAATTTCCAAATCTTGAGCCTTGGGACAAACTTTCTTTTAGTGACCCTGGCACCTTTTAAAGTGAGATCTCCTACAACTAGTCGATGCTGATTTATACATTCTTCTCCCGGTATTACTTTCACATTTTTTACTATACATCGATCACATCTCCTTAATAACAAGTAATCTACTGCACTTTTGGTACTTTATAAGTCACCAGCTTCTCTGATTCTTTCTTAAACATTGTATTACAGACAATCATATCCATAGCATCACTAAAATCTAAAATCCTCTCTCCTTCCAAATTTCTCATGCCATAACTGAAACCTCCATGTACTCCTTCATAACCCTCACTACTCGCTACCACATGTCCATTTAGATCACCAGCCAGGATAATCCCCTCTTCAATTGCCAGTCTCGATGTCACCCCAAATAGACTGTCCCAAAATATATCTTTCTCTTCTTCACTTCTTCCAACCTGAGGAACATATGCCGAAATAATATTATACAGCTTTCTACCAAAAATCATCTTAATAACCATTATCTGGTTGTCTAGCCTTCTCACTTCGACTACTTTGTCTACCAATTTCTCCGCAACCAATACCCCAACTCCAGCCTTACCATCATTACCTCCCTGTCAAAAGAATTTATACTTTTCGCTAGTCTTGCCAATCATTCTGGTCCCATATCCTTTCCATCTAGTCTCCTGTATGCAGCACACATCTATATGCCTTCTGTGCAATACATCGACGACTTCTCCTGCTCTTCCCGTCATACTCCCAACATTCCATGTCGCAACCTTAACTCGATCACCCGTAAACTGGTTTCTCCACTTTTTATCAGGTCGTTTATGGCCATCATAAGTATCATTTTCATGAATAGTGGTTCCACCAGGTTTTCCATCCTTCTTTTTGTCGTAGGAGGATGAGGAGGCCCACGGGGTACTTTAAGCTGTACCCCGCCCATGCTTTGTTGTAACCATAGGGAAATTTTTGTAACAAGGTTTTACAATCGGATGCCCTTCCTGACATCAATCTCTTTAAGTGGTTTTTACACCCCGTCGAGGAGACGATGATCCTATTCTAGACCCAGATCACAGGGAACCTTTTAGACCTCCATTAGCCGCCAAAAGACGTTGCCACTCCCCCGCCACGATGAGGCTGAAGGTAGGATTTTAATGAGATATATGCTAATTATATTCAACGTACTTGAGAAATAAAGAATAAAGGTACGATGATATAATAGAGATTTTCTCTAATACATCTTAAAATTTTTAAACTGCTATTTAGTCAGACTTGCGTATTATGGTTCAACTAAAAAAATACTTGATCATAGATAAAAGAATATTATTAGTGGGATAATCAAGAAGGATTTTAATATTTTTAGGCATTTTCCAAGGATACATTTAGTTGCGTACAAATTTGTCGTGATAAGAGGGTTTTGGAACACCGACCTTTTTCGAAGGTCGAAATTAACCCAACTTCAATGTTATTTGGCACATATGTTATTACATTAAATATACTTTGAAATTATTCCAAAAATTAATAAACAGGTATTGCAATTATTTTATCCTCAGCTGACAATTTATAAGTTAATTATTTACCAACATCGTTTAGCCTAATTTTAAAATTTTTATGAATTTCATTGTATTTCTTATTATTTTTATCAATTTGTTAGCAACTATTGTATAATCCCATATAAAATAACTAATTTTACATATATTCACTTTTAGCCCCTTTCTAATTCCCAAATGAAGGCTTTTGACGGCCGGATAGCTCATTATCCAGATATATCGGTTGATAATTTTTTCGACCTCAATTTAAGCTCCCAATTATACTTCTTATCTCACAAACATATGGACCATATGAAGGGCCTTGACTCGGCCGAATTCTATACTCGCATTTCCGATATGTCTAAATTTGATTCCTTCAAACAGAAGAGATTGTTTTGCTCACCAGTAACTAAAACCTTGCTCTATAATGACCCCAAGTATGTACATATAAGTGTATTTTTTCAAGCTCTCTCACTGTATCGACCAGTTTTGATCAGGGCTCGTATTTATGATAACAATGCAAACATTTGGGATGACCGATGCGATATAAGTAAAATGCAAGGTATTATTATTAAGGAAGATGAAAATGTTATACCGAATATGGAAAAAGAAAAGGATCATGAAACCATTGGAGTAATCGATCACGAGAAAAAGTTGAGAAGATATTATAACAAAAAAAATGACGATAACGAAACATGCAAGAAATTAAGTGACTCCAATAATAACAAGTCTAGACATTTGACTTTCATGGTGACCCTAATTCCAGCCGGGCATTGCCCCGGTTCGGTAATGTTTAATTTTGAAAGCCCCCTCGCCAACGTGTTATATTCCGGGGATTTTCGATTTGGAGAAAAATTTCTATCTCTTAAACCCGGCACATTATTTGGGCTCGATCAGTTTATAAAACCTGGGATAGACGCTCTCTACTTGGATGCGACGTTCGCCGTACCGGAGGCTTCTTTCATTCCATCTAGAGAAGAAAGTTGTAGAGTAGCGGCTCAACTGGTTAAGGATTGGTTAAATTACGGGACTAATGATTGCGAAGATAAAAAATGTAACATATTTAGCGATGATACAAATAGTGTTAACATTAAGACAAAGCGATTTGTTAGGCTAAATTTACTTTACGACATTGGATATGAACCCCTGTACGCCTCGTTACATGAAGTTACTCATTATAAGGTTCACGTGTCGCCTTATCAATACGAATATTATAGGTCCACTAATGTGGCTTCTTATCTCACGTTGAACCCTACGGTTACGCCTCTTCACGCTTGTCGATTCAGGCCCTCGAATATTAAACAAAGCAACAATAGTAAGGAATGCAAAATCGAGGGTTGTCATGAAAATAATATCAACCAAGATGAGTTAAACCTGCATCTTTGTGACTCAATAAATTCCAGTGAAATCGAGGAATTTAGCTCGAAGGTTTTGATAATCCAGCCTTCCGTCATGTGGTGGAATCAGACTTTGACCACAAAAAAAATATATAGCAAAGTTCGTAACTTTTATCGTCTTTGCTTCTCCATGCATCCATCATATGGGGAAATTTCAAAATTTTTGGCATTCGTCAGGCCTAAAGAGATTTTCCCAATAGCCAAACCCATGAATTGCGATTATTACAGACTTAATCGCATTCTCCATAAATGCGTAGACGATGCCAAGCAATTTGGCTTCGACGAAACAGGCACAAGTAGCAAGTTTTTGCCCCGGTCATTTATCAAGGGAGAACGACGAAAAAGGCGACTATCTAATGATTTATCTTCATCCAAATACTCGCAAGAATCATTTGAGCCAATGAATGAAATTTTACCCTTTTTTTATATTTTCGATGAACTTCCACCAGTTTCTTCACATGATGAAGATATATCAAACGAGAACTCCAGTGCTGAAACGGGAGATGTTCACGGCTCCTTATCCAGTCATGACAATTCTAACGATTCTCTCTTCTTAAACCAAGATAATTTTACAGAAGAAATTAATATTTAAATAAAATTTTAAATTTCAATTTTTTGCAATGATTTCAAAAGGGGTTTTTAAAATTGTAAACGGATATCATTAATAATTATTAAATATGAGAATATTGATAACAATTTATATCTAGATTAAATTATTCAAAGGATCCTACCAGGGATCCAACCTGAACCAAACAGGTATTTTTATCCGAACCTGAACCCGATCTGATATTCGTTTCGGTTCGGATCCCTGAATCCTATTATCAAAAACCTCGTTAAACTCAATTCAGTCTTGCCTGTGAAATATTTTGTTTTATAAAATAAATGAATGAATACCGCAAATAAATCATTTTTCAAAAACGAATACTAATCAAATAATTCACTATTCGTATTTAACGAAAATATATTAGTCAGAATTTTTTTTTTTTTTATTTCACATTAAATAAAAATTAAAATGTATATTAATATTTAATTTTTTATAAAGCAAAAGCCAATTTTTAAGGCTGAATTTTTATTATTGCTTCCTCTTTAAAGACTAAATGCGATTTTTCAGCAAATTTTTTCCATAGGAAAGGGCCTTTCAGTCAATAGAAGTTTGTTAATCACGTCATCTGTCAGATTTACTAGTTATCAATAGATATTAAAAATAAATAAATTTTATCAAAAAAACAGTAATTATTCCGAGGATTTTATTAAAACGAATTGAATAGAATAATTGTTTTTCATAGTAATTTACTATTCGATTTAAATTATTTGAAAAGAATTAAATATTCGATTAGACGTTTTTTTTAACATATACACAAGATTTAACGTTTTATTAAGCTTTAAATTAGATTTTATATAATTTATTATAAAAAAAAATTAAAAAATATTCAATATGAATATAACAAAAAATTAGATTAATGATATCGGTAATCGGCCTCCAAGAAGTGATATCGGCTCACCTTTAAAACCTATTGACTTGAAATATAATAATTGATATAATAAGATTATATTGATTCCTTCCACAATAGGAGGTGAAGTCGAGATAAACTTTGCAACCAATATTTTGCAGAATCAATTTCCTATCGCGTTAAACGAATTGTATGTGGTCCAAGAATAACTCCCCGTTTATAGTAACCGCGATGATAGTAAACATTGCATAATTCCTTTCTTTTTTTAAAAAAATTTCTTATAACCAATTAAATAGTTATACTATATAACAATCAAAACTCTCATGATAATATGTAAACTATTGAGGGTGTGGATAATGGGGCAAGGGGGGGGGGGGGGGTATCATTTTTTTATATATAACTAGATTTGTATCAAGCTAAATGCTAGGTTTTAATCTAATTGGATTATTTCAAAACTAGATTTTTAATTATCTGACGACCTTAATCATACTCTATTTTAATCATTTTAGAACTGAATCTTAAAAAAACCGACTAAAGAGCCAGACTTCAAATTCTTCACCAACCAATGCACCAGCTAGTAAATTTGTGACTCATTGGCTTTTTTCTGGACTCGGAAACATTAGAATTTAAAAAAATATTAAACTGTTTGTTATTTTTTCCAGGAATTAAACTTTAAAAATGATTATTTAAATAAGTGTTATATTGTTATTCTTTTCCTTCCTCCCATAAAATTAGATTGTTGAAAGATCTAAACTCTAATTACATCCATTCCAATCTTTTTAATTTTAGAGAGGTGTCTTTATTTTCGTATATAATACTAAAAACCAGAAAAGATAGTTTTATGAAATTGAAACAAACTGAGACGAGATTAGGGGAGAAAGTGTTAAAGCGTTTGAAGTATTAATAACGTGAGTAATTCTTTAGTCCTGGGGCATAAAGAACTTAAATTTGATGTGCTGATATATATTATAATAAAATTTCTTGCATATTTTCATCTTCTGTATGATGTTCCTTGTAGAATATATAATATACCAAAACGTATTTTTACGCGTAAATTATAAAAATTACCTTCTAGTATATTTTTAAGCTTTTAGCAACATACATTATTTTCGAATGATTCAAAATCTTGTATACATGTTGTTCATAGTCTTAGATATAGAATAAAGGTTATTGGAAGTTTATAGTTTAATCAGGTTCAGGAGTAATCTAATAAAGATGTATATAAATAATTTTATCTTGTTGTAAATAGGGTATGGGTAAAACCTTTAAATGTTTTCATCTGATTAAAGCTGTAAAATTGGGAATTTTGAAAATTTAAACTGTTTAAAAAGAAAACAAATATTTTTTATTACATGAAATAAAAAATAGTCACAATCGTAAAGAATAATTAAATACAATATGCCTTAAATGAATTCAGATGGGCATACCTTATTGTAGATATATTATTAAGATTATCTGTATGAATTTAAAAAATCATGTGAGAAGTAGTGTTGTTAAACGGCTAGTTTTGAGCCGATTTTTAAAAACGTCTAACTCACTTTGGCCAAAATAAATATTGCCTAAACCTCAAAATTTCACTAATATATGCCTATACCTATGTACCTTCCATGAATAAAATCAGAGTTGTACAAAAGATCTTCTTTGAAGATTTTTGAGCCAGATCTAGCTCAAAAATTTGAGCAAGATCTTTGAAGATCGTAAAATTTGAAGATCTTTTATTTTTTAAAAATTTTGTGTAACGATCTTCAAAGATCTAGATCTCTGAAGATCGCTGCCATCAACGATCTTCATGATATTTATTTTTTTACCCCTTTATTAAAAGCCTAGATGTTTTTCAATTTTCATCAAGGCAGGTGGAGAGGTATAAAACATAAAAGAAATATTATATTAATAAAATTGAAAAACATCTGGGCTTTTAAAAAAGGGGTAAAAAAATAAATATCATGAAGATCTTTGAAGATCGTTGATCGCAGCGTACTTCAGATCGTTACACAAAATTTTTAAAAAATAAAAGATCATCAAATTTTACGATCTTCAAAGATCTAGATCTTTTTATTTTGAGCAAATGTACAACTCTGAATAAAATATTCAGGCTTGCTTAAAATTTTTCTGAATGAAATATTGAGTTAGTCGTTTTTAAAAATCGGCTTAAAACGAGTCGTTTAACAACACTAGTTAGAAGACACCATATTGACATAGTTGGAATAGAGAACCAAATATGCCAGAAAATTTAGTCGGTATAAAGACTTTTACCAAGAGTGAACATTCATTTGAACAAATTAATTCTTCGATATTTATAATATATCCTTCAAATCAATGAATAGTCTACATTTTTTCTTTTATATTTATGAATGAAAAAATTTTGGACGCGGCAAACCGCATGTAAAAATAAAAGCAAATTATACCAAGCTTACAAAATTAAAATATGTTGTAAATTATCAATAACCACAGACATGTGGACAGTCGCTAGCTTAACTTAATACTGTGTTATAATATGCCATTATATTGACAATAAATGGAAAATAGAAAGTTTCATATTAGATTTAATTGAATTACCACACCCATGTTGTGGTGATGATATTCTCGTGATAATTGATACAATTTTACTGTAAATCTACGACATATAATATTCCACTGTTTGTATTGTGCTTTAATTCTTTTATTTAATTTATGATTTAATTTTATCAATAGTTATAATTATATTTTACTTTTATTAAGATAAATAAATTAAAATTACTCACTTTACAAAAAATAATATTATATTATTTAGTAATTTTATAGATCTATTATTAATAATTATAATATATTTCACCTTTGTCTTAAGACTTATCTTTGTCTTATATTCCATTTCTTAAAAAACATTTTTGGTTCAATTTTTATATATATAAATGCTTTTTTTCAAAAATATATAAATTATGATGAATTGTTTTATAAAAAAATATCAACTTTTACATTCTTTCTTTCAAAATATTGTTTAAGATATATGCTTACATTTTTAAGGATCAGGAAGTGAGGGGAGGACTATGGGGATATTTTTTATTAGATTAAAATGATATTCACGAAAAATGATAAATTTCTGTTGGGGGGGATTTCCCTTTGCTCACCTCCACCTGGCTACGCCTATTTGTTTCTAAATGACCAGTCCATCTCAAGTTCTAAAAGTAACTTAAGAGTATGGCCTGTATATGTAATAAATTAATAAATGATTATTTATGTATATTGTATATTAAAAATAGAATCGAACATTCGAAAAACAATAAATAAAATTTGATATCAAAAATAAATTGAAATATAAATCAGTGGTCGTATTGTTTATAATTAGTAGTTGGTATTACTACAAATGGCGACGATAAATGGAGAAAATAATTCCTTAAATGGAGATAATAATTCCTTAAATGGAGAAAATAATTCCTTAAATGGAGATTCAAAAAAAATAGCGGATTTATCTACGATTAAATTTGATAAATTCGAGTTGGATACTTCTATTCACAGATATTTTTCTCAATGGGAAGCCAGTTTTCGGTTAAAAAACGTAAGCCCATCTGAATGTCAATATAAAGATATATTTTTAACATTTTTTGGCAATAAGAATATTGAGTTGGTGGACCGTTTTTGTTATCCTGATTCGATCGAAACTTTATCTTTTAAGGAAATTAAGTCAATATGTTTTAAACTATTTAAACCGACGTCAACAGCTTTTGCTTCTAGATTTGATTTCGTTAGATTACGGAGAACAACTGAAACCATAACTGAATTTGCAAATAAAATTAGAACAATTGGAAAGCGTTGTCATTATCTTAATGATATTGACGAGCGTTTACGTGATCAGTTTATGGTTGGCATGGAAATACCGGGATTGGAAAGAGATCTTAGAGCTCTATATCCCGACGGTCTTGATAGAGATAACAATGTACTGACTTTTCAATTTATTCTTGATCTGGCATTAGCTTCTGAGCGAGCAGATAAAGAAATGGCAAATAAAAATATGCCAGTTGTTAATAAGATAAATGTTAATAACAAAAGAAATGATAATGATAGTAATTATAAACATCCAATAAAAACGACGACTACAATTGATAAAGGCTATAATAAAGTCAAGTATAATAATACATTTGATAAAGAGAATAATAACTACAAATATAATAATGATAAAGATTATAATAAACTTAAATGTTATAAATGTGGTTTTATTCATAACCGAGAAGTGAGATGTCCAGCTACAAATGCGGCATGTAATAAATGTAAAAAAATTGGTCATTTTGCAGTTTGCTGTAAATCAAAGAATTTAAACTATATAAGAGTGTCATCAAGTGATTCTATTCATAATATTTGGAAGATTCAACAAAATCGAGAGAATCGAGCAAAACTAACTGCAGAGATAAATGGGTTAGATGTTGAATTTGATTTTGACACTGGTGCACAAGCGTCATTGATAGGAATTGATATATGGACAAGTATTGGGCGACCAAAAATTAGGCCAACCAGTCCATTGACTGCATATGGTGATCATCCGTTAGACGTCAAGGGCGAGACCCAAGTCAATGTTAGGATTGGATCACAGACAAGGACTCTACCAGTGGTAATAATGAATACAACTGGGGTGCCTCTTTTCGGATTACCATGGATTATAGCATTCAATTTAGAAATGCCTCGTCAGGTTATGATTAAACAAGTACGCAATTTGGTCAACAATATTGAAAAAGAAAAATGTTGCATAACACTAGATTCTAGAATTCGAGATTTGATTAATAAAAATCAAGAAATTTTTGATGATAAGATGGGACATATACGTGATTTTGCAGTGCGAATACATTTAAAGGATACCGCTGTACCAAGATCGTTTCCAGCCCGTAGGGTACCATTTCCACTTCGCAAAGCAATTGAAATGGAATTAGACCGATTAGTAGCTGCAGGAATTATTGAAAAGATTGATTCGACTATAACCAGGGTACAGTGGTCAACGCCAACCGTAAATGTACGCAAGAGTAATGGCGATATTCGAATTTGTGCTGATTTCAAAGTTACACTCAATCCGTGTTTATTATATGACCATCATGTTATTCCTACCTTAGACGATTTATTAGAGAAAATCCAAGGTGGTGATAAATTTACCGTGATAGATCTGAAAGATGCGTATTTACAGATGGAAGTAGAATTGGAATCCCAGGAACTACTAACGATAGTGACTCATAAGGGCTATTTCCGTTACCGACGATTGCCATTTGGATTGGCAAGTGCACCAACTATATTTCAAAGATATATGGATGAGTTACTAAAAGATTGCCAAATGACTGGTGTCTATTTAGATGACGTAATTATTTCTGGTCGAAATGATGAGGAGCACTTAAATAATTTGCGAATAGTGTTAGACAGATTAAATGCAGCAGGTCTTAAGGCGAAATTAACAAAAGTGAGATTTTTACAAAAATCGGTTTCATTTTTAGGGGTGATAATTGATAAATTCGGTATACATCCTAACCCGGAAAAGGTGAAGGCTATCCGAAATGCACCAAAACCTAAAAATATACAACAACTTAGATCTTTTCTAGGACTAGTTAATTATCATGAACGTTTTATTCGCAATCTACATTCTAAAGCGGCGCTACTACATAGATTAACGAGCGTGAAAGTACCTTGGCAGTGGTCGAAAGATGAACAAAATTCCTTCGATGAGGTTAAGAAATTATTGTCATCCGAGGAAACGTTAATTCCTTATAACGCGCAGTTGCCTATAATTTTGGAATGCGACGCATCTGATTCAGGATTAGGGGCTGTGTTGTTACATCAATTAGTAGACGGAAGGACAAAACCTATTTCGTTCGCGTCACGTACTTTATTAGAATCAGAGAAACACTACGCTCCGATTGATAAAGAAGCTCGAGCACTTTTATTTGGTATTGAAAAATTTCATTCATTTATTTATGGTAGAAAATTTTTACTTCGAACTGATCATAAACCATTAGAGCGATTATTTGGGGAGAAACGCGATTTACCTAAAATTTCTAATAATCGTTTGACACGTTGGGCCTGGAAGATGGCTTCTTATGATTTTACAATAGAATATAGACCTGGTAATAAAAATGTAATCGCCGACGCATTATCAAGGCTTCCAATATTAGACACGGAAGAGAATCAAGATTCTAAACATGCTTTGGATATACGAAGTATTAATTTGGATGATATGCAATTGTCAGAAAATATTCTACGAAAAGAGTCGAAGCAAGATTTAATATTAAAAAAAGTAGCCATACATATTCAGCAAAGTTGGCGAAACTTTGATCGTTATAAAGATAAAGAAATAGTTAATTTTTATAATCGACGGGAAGAGCTTTCTGTCGATCGTGATATTATAGAATGGAATGGGAGATTGGTTATTCCTAATAAATTAAGAAATGCAGTGTTAGGAATGATTCACCGGGGACATCCTGGGGAAAATGTAATGAAATCTATTTTTAGATTGTATTGCTGGTGGCCCAGATGTGATGTTGATATAGAAAATTTTATCAAAATATGTTCTGGATGCCAGAAAAATAGACCTAGTATTCAAGAAGTACCTCTATATTCTTGGACTGTTGGAAAGGAACCTTGGGAGCGAATCCATATTGATTTTGCTGGACCAGTAGATTCGCGATACTGGCTAATAGGTGTCGATTCCTATTCCAAATGGTTAGAAGTTGATCTAATGCAAAATACCTCTGCTGATGCTATGATAAAACGACTAAAAAAATGGTTTGCTAGGTTTGGAATACCCAAGTACATTGTGTCAGACAATGGACCACAATTCTTATCTGGGGAATTTCGTAGGTATTGTGATTTAAATAACATACGTCATATACGTTCAGCACCCTATCATCCAAAAACTAATGGATTAGCTGAACGTACAGTACGAACTTTGAAAGGTCGGTATTATGCAACGAGAGATTCAATTAGCGATCCCGAAGAAGCTATGACACAGGTTTTAACAACCTACCGATTGGGAGAGCATAGTTCCACAGGGAGATCTCCTGCTAAAATTATGTTTGGGAGGCAATTGAAAACAAGTCTGGATTGGATCCGACCAAATGCCGAACACGAAATAGTAAGGGCTAATGATAAACAAAGCCTTCATCATGATTTACATTCAAAGGAAAGAGAATTTGAAATCTCACAACCTATATGGTTAAATAATGAAAATACCAATGGTTGGAGAGAGGGAGTAATTAAAGAAAGAATAGGACTTTATTCCTATATTGTTGAATCTTCCGGGAAAACATTACGGAAGCATGCAGATCAGTTAAGAAATCGTTTAGTTATCCCAAATCATGAAAGTTCTTTGGAAGTTACAGAAATGGTTGTGCCAGTGAATGAAGCAAATACAAACACAAATACAAATACCACATTACGTTGCTCATCAAGAAACCGTAAACCTACAAAGAGGTTTATTGAAGAAATCTAACTTTAAATTGTTTGAAGAAAATGTAATAAATTAATAAATGATTATTTATGTATATTGTATATTAAAAATAGAATCGAACATTCGAAAAACAATAAATAAAATTTGATATCAAAAATAAATTGAAATATAAATCAGTGGTCGTATTGTTTATAATTAGTAGTTGGTATTACTACAGTATATTTACAGATACGTTAAAACGCCTAGAAAAATTATACAATTAAAGATAAATTACAAAATTATACAATGCAAATATAAAAAAAATTAAACAATAAAATTTTGAACAATGAGATCTAACTTGTGGATGTAGCAATGTATTTATTGAAAATAAGGAAAGAAGACTTTATATTTATCCCCTCCTCCACAATTTTTATGATAAACATCTTGTTGGGATAAAGTTTATGGGTAAATTAAATTGTTATAATGTTTATTCTCAATTCTGATAAAAGTCTTAAATATTATAAAAAATATATTACAAATCTTAGATTAAATTCAATATTGGTCTTGGGCTATAAAATAGTTTTATTTTCCACTTATCCGTTTTTGCTCTGATCTTCCCCATTCATGATATTATTTTATCTGAATGCCTATTATTTGCCCCTTTACTATAAAATATCGAAAGAAATCATCATCATTTATATTTCTATCAACTGTCAATGTGTTATCCCTTTTCTATCATTTGGAAACGTAATTCGTTTTCAATGAGTTATTATTGAAAAATATCATTAATGGTTATACTCTTCAATTTGCTCAATTATATTTTAAAAACCTGTATATAAAATTTAATCCAGAAATATGAATCGCATATATAAATGAGTGGCAATACAAATAGCATATCAATGAAGGAATTATGTTGTCTATTTTGTTGTCCACCTTTGCCGTCACGTATTGCTGCAAAGCTAGCATTTTTACCACCAGAGCCAACATATACATTGACATCAAATTTAGACAAAAAATTATGCAATGATAATAATGAAATAAAGCAATATGACAAAGATTCAGAAAATATAGGCATTCAGGATCAAACCCAAGTTACTATTTTACTTGATGCTACACTAATGGATCAAAATATAACACAAAATAAGGTAAACCTCATATTTAATAAAATAAACATTAATATTTATTTGACTATTAAATTCTCAGTTACTTTATTTTATAATAAATTTAACTATCTATATATCCATCCTAGAACAATTTGATCAAAAAATTTATCACATAAAAATCATTTATTTAAAATCTTATAATATGAGATATATATAATTATGATAATAATATAGCAATAATTAGAATTCAAAATTATGAAAATTTTTATAAAATAGTGCATTAGCATTAAAGCTTGTCTCTTAAGTTCCTTATTCAAACCAAATATATATTATTAACTTATGTTTTTCCTGTATAATTTGGAACCATTTAATTAATTATGAAATTTGTCAATCCAACTGTATATCTATTCATGGGTCATTAATCCCTGCTGACCAAACCTAAATATATTATTTATTTATTTTTTAATTTTCTTTTCTTTTAATTATATATTTTTATATAGAATATAGATAGAAATTTTAATATTCTTTTAATAAATAGTTAAACTTTTAAAAAAAATAAACAACAAAACAATTTTCTATATTAGTTTTCTCTCCACTTTTTTCTCTATATCAGTTGTAAACATTTTTAAAGTGAAATAAACAGGGTGGTCATCATTTGTTGATAAAAATGGAGATGGAGGTATCATATGCTGATTAGTTTTGTTAAACGACTCATTTTGAGCCGATTTTTCAAAATGGCTAACTCAATATTTTATTAGGAAAAATATCGTGCAAAGATTGCTCATAGGTGACACAAAGGTTTGGACATCTATTAACGAAATCTCGAGGCTTAGACAATCTTTTTCTGGCTAAAATATATGAGTTAGCCATTTTTAAAAATCGAGCTGTTTAACAACACCAGAGTTGTTAAAAGATATTTTTTAAATGGATCTAGATACAGATACAACGTCGAAAGTAATATCTAGATACAGATTATTTAATCAAAAATCTATCTAGATACAGATAGAGATACCACATTTTTCATCTAGATCCTTTAACAACTCTGAACAACACTAATGCTGATACCCACTATATAGGTCAAATTGATATTGAATATATAAAAAATAATTTGTGATATGAAATAATATAGAAATAAATTCCCCAAATTTCAAAATTTGATAATAATACATAAAAATTGAAAGAAACAAAGTTCTCTTTTGTGCCTTTTTATTTTTAATATATACATCAATTTGCACTATGCTAAAGAGTTAATTAATGCAAATCACGTGACAACCAAATTTAACTATATTTAACATATTAATGATATATTAAATCAAGAGAAGAAAATAATTAATACCTTAATTTTTTTAAATATACTTGCGACGGGCCTAAAAAAAATTATTTAAAAAAAATAACCGAGCCATACGTTATAAAACCAAAATTTTAAATCCTTGTTATAAAAATTGAAAATAAATGTAATATATTTAAAAAAAATACAGATCGGACCTCGTGACATAATAATAACTAGACTGATGATGCATTCATTTAAAAGTGTACAATCAATAAAAACAGCTGGGGAAGCCATTTTGATTACCTATATCATTATTAAATTTTTTAACAAGAGTTCAATTTATTCCTATAACTGACACAAACTTTGTTAAAGAAGTTCCTGATCATCGAGATAATGAGGAAGCACGTTATCAATTTAATAGTAGTTTTTAACATGAGAATAATTAATATACGGGTTACCAAAATGGCGGGTCCAGCTGATTCTTATTCAACTCACCCTTTTGAATGCATTCTCAATCTAGGTATTTTTATATGTCAATGGTTTAAAAAAAATTTTTTTAATAAAAATCCAGACAGGGCTTGAAAATATAAAACCCAAGTTGGGCCGATAGAAAAAAATCTAGGTGGGGCCATGAAAATGGTACCTTTGCAGATCTCCAAAAAAAAGTAGGAATATTTATTCTAATATGATAAACAACTAATCACTATAATAATGCCACATAAATACCAATCTCGGACTGACACTTTAATTGATACTTTTCAATTTTAACAATACTAGTGGTTCATACACAAAAATTATAAATTTAAAAAAAAATAAATAATAAATCTTAACATTACGCAATGAAAATATTTTTTTTAAAAAATGAATATAAAAATTTTTTAATTAAAAGAAAAAGGTAGTGAAATAGTATTGTTTAAAAAGCCTTTCATTCTATTTTTTTTTAAAATGGACCGATTAAAATTTTAACTAAAATAATATCATGTAAGCCCTTGAAATTTGACAAATAGCTGTCCAAATCATTCTTCCATCTGTGAGCTAAATCTCAGGGCTTGCAAAGTATTATTGTGGCTAAAATAATTGGGCGATTGTATTTTTTAGCATAATGGGTAAGTTAATATGAATATAAAAAAATTTGGTACTAAATCATCATTCTAAATCCTCGAATCAGCTGTTACATGGGGCATTAAGATGTCCACAAAAAGTAATATATGAATAAAAGCTAATTAAGGAAAAATTTTGGCTAAAATAATTGGGCCGTTTTTTGAATAAACCTAAATCAGGATTTTTACAACACTAAGAGTGAAAGAAGGTGGATCACGTTAATCTTTATTTCCTATTTTAAAATTTAATTTGATAAATTAATTATAATAAATGAATAAATAAATAAAGGATAATATTGAGGAAATTAATTATATTTTTTTGCTTTCTTTTTTAAAAAATTAAACCACATTAAGGTTATTATTTTGGTATTGTTATTGCTGGTTTTCTGATGATAACTAGGTAAGTATTAGTGGCATCGATATTAACCAATCAGGTTCTATCAGTGTCATTTCTTACCTGCAAATGTCTCTTTAAATCTTTGAATTCGGTGACCAAAATTGAAATTAACATTTGAACACAATTTTCTTTTTTGGGTACGGAATTTGATCCATTACCCTGATAATAATTTATCGAAAATTCTTCCCAGGGTCATTTCGAATCAATTCGTCGAATCAATTTTTGGATTTCGATGAAATGATTGCGATCAAACAATGTTTATTATTGGCAGCTAAAGTTTCGAATCGAATCCTAACTATTACCTTATTAATCTATATTTTTATTGGTCAAATGTAAAGTAATGAAAAAAACGACCAGGTTCAGTGTTCGTCATAAATACAAGCAACGGCATTCGTGATTTCCCCCCTTTCCCGCTAATGTCTTTCGCGCCAGGTCAATTCAGCGAAATTTTTATCGCGTAGGTTATATTATAGCTAAGCCAATTCCGCGATTATTTATAAGCGCGAACACTTTTTGGAGCGGAACTTTTTTAGCGAACCTTTCTTTTACCCCATAATATATTTTCGCTCTAAGGCCAATATCGCTAGAGCGTTACCGCCAATAAAAAAATGAGTATATTGCTGATGCGTTTATTAAAAGAAATTTAACATAATCATTTTTTTTAAGGATATTGCGAGGATTGGGGTAGGATTTAATTTATCCGATGTGATTAAAAAATAACGATTTTATCTTTCAATCTCGTTCTCGGTCGGATTTACCCGGGGGGGGGATAATTTTGGGTTCAATTTTTACCACGCTAAATTTAACCCCCTCCCCAATATCCAAGAGTTTGGTATCAGGACTTTGCCTGAACCGCGTAGTTGGTAAAACATAACATAAACTTATTGGCTGCTTCACACCTAAATGTGATAGATGTTGGTGCCTGATAAACCATCTAGTGACGAGAATCAAAGTAAGAGATAATAGAGATGAAGGTTGTGGTGTAATAGATAATCTTAGTGGTAGGCAGTTCTAATTTCAGGAAACCACGGAATGCCAAGGAAAATTTTTAGAAAATATTCTGAAATGCTTAGAGTTTTTTTTTTCCACATTTACTTTACTTAGGGTTAGGATTAAAAAAAACATATATTTTGAAAAGCATAAGAATTTTCATTTTATTTGAAATTTCCTGATTTGATTTTTTTTTAAAAAAATGATTTTTCTTAATTATCGTGTAATTTTTTTAAAAAAAATATCTCTTATTTCTCTAGAGAATTGTTGTGCCTTTGGCTAAACCCACCGGGAACCTAAAAACGTGTTACAAAGAGGCAAAATTTTATTTTTTTTGTAATCAGTAAATTTCGATTATTCGTATAACATTTAAGTCTAATATGTAAATTATATATAAAAATATTTTTATTATGATAATATTTTAAAAACTAGTTTCACTGGTATTCCTATAACTATCCAATTTTTAATTTTCAACATGATGCACACATTGCATTCGATATAACTTTCTGATGTGAGTACAATTTATTTGAATATTTTGGTCACCCCATTCTGGCTTCTTCTTTCCGTTCAATTGATAAAAATAACTGCGAAGTTAATATCAAAAATGGAAAAATTTGCAAAATAAATTGACGCTGTTTGGTATTCTTTATATTTCCCATGCTAAATAAAGGTGTGTTATAATATAAATAATTTTTAAGATTTTATACTTTACAAATAATCAGACGATATTGCAGCAAATTTTAATAATATTATTGATTCGTCGAGGTATTCTTTATATTCTCCATGCTAAATAAAGGTGTGTTATAATATAAATAATTTTTAAGATTTTATACTTTACAAATAATCAGACGATAATGTAACAAATTTTAACAATATTATTGATTCGATACTTGTTTGCGCTTCCGGTGTTCTAATATCCGGTTTACACTAAAAAACACAACGCTAAACGTTTCCGCTCAATTTGTAAGGTATTATTACTGATTTTTTTAATTCAAACTGGATAGAATTAACGTAAATCAGAAATTTTTATTAGAAATGAATATATTAATAAATAGGTTTAAAAAAAAATTCAAATAACACCAAAATTTTTTTAAAAATTAAAAAAGTTGGTTTACCCTTAAATGATTGTAATTATTTTTTAGCATAATAGGTAAGTTAATATGAAAAAAAAATTAGTACTAAATCATCATTCGAAATCCTCGAATCAGCTGTTACATGGGGCATTCTTAAGATGTCGACAAGAGTGATATGAATGAAAGCTAATTAAGGAAGAACACTAGTATTAGGATATATCTCCTTAGGGGTACTCTCAGTTCTTCTAAGAGTGGAGTTACAGCTGTTTTAGTAAATTTTGATGCACTTTCCTTCTTGATTAGGCTCTTTTTTCGAAAATCTTATAAACTTTCAAAAAATTAAATATGAATTCGTATCGTTATCAGATTATCTTAAATATAATTTATATTTTTTTAAAAAAAATTAATTATTTATATAAAATAAATCCTTGTTTTTTTGTGGCTTGGTTGCTCAGAGATACGCGTACCGGCTGAGTCACGTAAAGCTGGTTTGATTGACAGGTTTTTTTTCTTTCTTTCTAAAACTAAACTCATGAGAGAGTTGTTTCAAAAGGTTTATTTTTTAGTGCGCTGTTATGAATTTGCTCTAAAGGGTTCGCAATAATCGTTTCGCTTTTAGGCCGTTTTTAAAAATCGACCCGAGGTCGTTTACGCACGCGTTCATTATCGTACTACGTTTATTATATTACGGAAAACTTGTACTTAATTTTAAAATAAATTTTTTTAAAATAAAAAAACAAACAGATTAATACGGATGCCGCTATTACGTCCGCTTCCCCCCTAGTAGCTCACTTCAACCTTCCGAATCCTCAAACTAATCGGGTTCAAAAATTAACGGAACTCATAGCTAACAGATGGGGAAATTTGTCTCGGCCTCTCTTGAACCTGACTACCAACTCCCTGGGCAAAAGATCTAAAGAAAATGTCCTGCCCAATAACACCACCATCAATTCCGCGATGATGAAAGAGTTGGAGATGGAGAAAGAATTCCCCAGTTACGGCATCCACTTGAAAAACAGGGCAGAATGGCAATACTCGGCCCAAGAGTTGGACAGACTCGACGCTTTTACCACGGTCACCAGCCGGGGCTCGGTGATACCGTGTTTGATGGTTTGGTGTGGCAAATCCCTGGGCAAGAAGGTCAAAGAAAACTCAACCATTGTCGCGCCTCCCGAAAATAATGCCCTGGAAAATGAGGGTTATAAAGCACCAAATTACCCCGAAATCGAAGAGAAATGGCGGGATATGTTGGACCTGAAGATGAATTTGATCAACTCGGCCGATCTGCCCATTCATTCCGACCGTGATATATATATTATATATATTTAAATTTTATTAATCTGTGGCCGAAACTGATTTAGTAAGCCATAAGATAAACATACAATTGACCTGTTGGCAGCTCTTAAATTCATTACTGCTCGCTAAATGGTAAATCAGTTTTTTGAAGATAGCCGTAATTAATAGATATTTACAAAAAAACGAAACGTTTTGAATAGTTTTTAACTCCACGATGATGGCATCTCCTTACAACGCCGATCGTAAAGTGGGCAAAACAAAATCCCGCCCGCCACCCGACGCTTCCAATGACCGACCCAACGAATGGGACGGAATCAGGAAAGAACGGCATATAACCCTACCACGAAATCAAAAGTTAGTCTTTAGTATTAATTTTTTTTTGATTGACGCGTGAATTTGATGGGCTACCTTTTTTTTTTTTTACTTAAATCGTTGAAAAAAAAAATTATCGATTTTTAATTAATAATTTTATATTTTCCGATCGAGCGCATTTGTTACGAAGTTAAAATATATAGGGGTAAAATAAATTCGTTATCAATCAAAAACCTGAAGGTAAAAAAAAATATGATTTATTATATATAATCCTTACGAAAGATTAAAAAATAAATATCGAAATATTAAAAAAAATTAGTACAAGGTAATGGTTAAACAATGAAGGAACTAAATATAATTTTATATTTACTCACATAATTCAGAGACCTACAAACCCGGATTAAATAAACCGGGTATTCGGGAGGGCCTTTAAAAACCCGGACTAAATAAACCGGGTATTCGGGCGGGCCTTTAAGAAAATAACCCAGGGTTTAGCTATTCAATCTCTCCTCCTATTTTCAATTTTCCCTTTGGAAAACAATTTTGAAAATTCTGGGCTGATTCATTCATTAAAAGTGTACATTAATTGAAAACAACTGGGGACACCATTTTGATTAACCATATCATTATTAAAAATTTTTAAACGATAAGCCAATGTATTCCTATGTCATGGCGCAAATTAAAGAATTGCCTGATCATTCGAGATGATAAGGATAGCAAGTTATCGATTTAATAGTAATTTTTAACGTGAGAATAATTAACTATAATTGTTACCGAAATGGCGGGTTCCAGCTGATTTGCATTCAACGACGCTTTAAAGTGCATTTATTATCAATGAATCGTCAGTCTATGTATTATGATTATTTTATTTCATTGGCTGAGCCATATAAATTGGAGAATTGTCTTCAATTCATATTTAGACGCGAAATCGTGCTATAACCAATGACTTATATCATTATCCAATATACCATTTTTTCGAAAAATTATCTGTAATCGCGTCAAGATCATAAAGGACCTTGTCCTATACTTTGTACGTTATAAGTCTTACCCCGAATTTACAGTTAGCGCCAATTCTCGGCGGAAGTATACAATATATGCGGTAGTTTTTCGTATTCTCCGCCGCCTATTCGCGTTAATTACAAATTCGTGGTTAGTCGATATTAATCATGGATCCGCATAATGTCGAAATTTTAAAGACCGTCTCAGATTTTTTTTTTGAAAATAAATAGCCCTTTTTCTTGCTTTTGACCCAATTACATTTAATTTGAACCTGGAAACTAAACAATCATCGCCATTTTTGATTTAAAAATACAACTCGTTTTAATTAACATTATAGTTTAAATCAAACGGAATCATTTATTTGGGTAATGAAAGATTTTAATTTTTAATAGTTTAAATGATTTTACCAAGAAAAAATGTTTTATAAATTGGTTAGCTGCTTCATAATTTTTTTTTTTGGTATTTCCTTATATATCGATTAAAAAATTAACAAATTAAATTTGATATTATATTGCAAGTTAAATTTGTAATCATATTACAAATAATTTCCCCTCTTCGATTATATCTCGGACCCGAACTGGACCGGGGAAATTTTCTACCGGATTTTTCAGCCCATGGCCGCGATTATTTATGAACCGACCCGGCATGACCACTTATAGTGGGCACAAAATTGAGCGCTTCAAACGCTGTGCGTTGATAGCGCAAATAACGCATTTCAAATGGCCTCGCGCAAATTGGTAAAATTGCCGTTTGGCGTTAGCAACCATTTAAAAAAAAATGCAAATAAGTTCGCTTTTTCGTTACTTTTTCTTTACGCTTTTCGTAATATTATATATAAAAATGTAATATAAATAACCTACCTATAATCCTAAAATGGAATATATAGAAATTTAAAGAAATACGGACGGCAGACGATAATATAATTTTCAAAGATGTTTGAAATCGACGATATTAATAAAAAGGCAACCTCAATTTTAACAAGGGATGCGTTACGTTTTTTTTATTGACAAAATTTCGGGCAAAACGTAAACGCTCAATTTGTGTGCACTATTAAAATATATTTTGTTTTGTCCAACTTGTCCCGGGAAAGGTAGAAAATATATTTTGAAAAATTTTGTTCTTTCCGGCCAGAAAAAATCTTGTCCCGCGGGTAAGGCTTCGGGCTGCGCTGCGTCGACTTCTAGTTTCAATATACTTTAAACTAGTAGCTTTGAAAGTATCATATCAACACCTCTCTAGGCTAAATTATAATTTAGATCTATAAATTGCTTTCGTTGATGATCGATAGTCTTAACGTAAGGAATATAATTTATTAGCATCGTTTCAAACGAAATGGATTTACACAAAAAAAACGACTGTTTTTTATTTCAAACATAAAAAACGAAGAAAAAAACAGGCCTAAATATTATTTTAACGAAATTTTTAAACTTTCAAAACAAAATGTTTAAATTTTATATTTAAAAAGTTATTTCAAATCAAAAAATACGATTCACAAACTTTTGAAACTTTATAAAAAAATAAAATAAGCCATTTTAAATAGGAAAATCTAAATTTTGACCAAAATCATTTTTTTTTCGATTTTTTTTGAAAGTTTTAAATGTTCAATGTTTTCGAACTTAAATTTTTTAAAACTATACAAATAATTTTTTAATGGCTGATGATGAATATTCGTTTTATTTTATTTTTTCTCCTAAATTGTCCATTTTTGTTAGTTTTTGGATTTTGTCTCAACACATTTATCGGTAATTCTTCACATTCTCCCTGTTAACCAATAACAATAATTCCAGGACTTTTGTCATTATGAAAAATTAACTTATTGATTGCGATAAAATATTGATAGATTACATTATTCTATAGATTTTCAGTTAAACAATAATAAAAAACAGGAAAAAAAACGTTTTTTTTGTTCCTTTTGAGAATGTTGGTTCCAATAACTGAAAAGAAAGACTTTCGCGCAATAATTTAAAAAAAATTGTGTTAAACCAATCGAATCTCGACAAACTGATTCATTAAGTCAAAAAAAAAATTATTATATATAAAGACGCCATTACCATCCCTGCAAGTACACCATCCTTTTCAGCCATGGGAATGCGGTGGATTTGGGTCAAATGTCCGGCTTTTTCCTAGCGCTGGGCTCGAAATTGGGTGCTGACGTTTTTGGATACGATTACACCGGATACGGTTGTTCGACCACTAATCGCGCGAGATCTATTTCCGGTATTAAAAACGGACTCTTGGGGTTGAATGATAGCGGACCCAACCGAAAACGTATACGATAAATATTATACGTTAAAAAATTAGCCTGCGCATACGCTTTTTGTAAAATGTAGCTTCTCCTTACCCTGAGGCCTAATATATGATAAACGCGTTTTGCTCAAGCGGTGCGGTATTTATCGCTGCCTTATTTACAAAAATACAGCCAATAAATTAGGTATAATTAATAAATATTAAGCGAAATGATAACAAAATTTGAAAAACATATGTTGCGATGATAAAATATAACTATTATTAAAATAATTTGCGAAATTCGATAAAAAGGTATTGTACGTAAAATAATTATCTCCATTTTTATATCAAAAATTATTAATACTATGAAGAATAAACATTAAATACCGCACCGCTTGAACATAACATGTTTGCCATAAATTCAGCATAAGGTCATACCAGAGCGTTTTCAAAATTAAGCTAGTTTAATATATTATATAATTATCTAGATAAGAATATAATAATTACTTTTAAAAAATAATGTGAAAATTATTCTCAATTAATACAATTGGTATAAGCAGACGATAAATTTTTTTTAATATGCAAATGCTCGAAAATATCCAAATTTTTGAAAGCGCTATTTTGAATTTGGCTCGCTATTGCTACCCTATTTAACATTGTACACTCAACACGTTAGAACGTTCTGGTTTATAGCTTTAACCTTGGTCAGAATTGATATTGTTTTTTTAGGGGTTTAACTAGTGGAATTATATTTTATCGGATTTTATTTATTAAATGTAAATAAATCTCAATTTATCTCTTTAACTGATTATTATTATTAGAAGGTTTTAACTCCACTTTTGGTCAAAATAAATTAGGGTCCACCCTTTATTAAATTTAAAAAAAAAATATATATTCTTTTTTATTGTTGCACATGTTTTTTATGTGCGGTTCTAACTATTTTGTCCTAGTGTTTTAATTATCAAAATATGTACTATTTGTTCAACCATTCGTGAACCATTTTATCACGTAATATCAGTGGTGGTCGAGTAAATTTTTCATATATATTATACATTTAGGTAGGTATAGCGGATTCTGTGGTGGTAAAGTTGTCAGACCTTCCGAAGCAGATCTATATTCCGATGCCGAAGCAGCTTGGCGTGCGTTGCTGATTCGGTACAACTTATTTATATAGTATTCGTAATAACCAAGTTAATTATGCATTTTAAAATAAATAATGTTGGTCTACTACCGACACCAGACTGAAAACCGTTTTTAACGGGTAATTCGGTCCCTTTGGGCGGAACAGTTAATAAATAGACATCGTGCAGGAAAAATAATTTTCAAGTTGTCTTTTAAAAAAAATGAAAACCCTGTAATTACTACGTCCATTTTAAAAAATATATATAATAAATCTAAGCCTAACCCTAAATGATATTGATTTTAGTTTAATCAAGTATGCCATTTTTTGCTCAAACATATGATATTTGACGAGGTCGATTAACCTGTCAAAACAACTCTTTTTTTCGAAGCGGTTTCCTAGTCACGTTTCAGGGGATTTTTTTAATTTATTTATTTCTAACAAAGGGGATAATAATCTGTCGAATTAATTTTTTTGCATATTATAAATACGCAACCATTCATCATCTTTATTAACAAATGGCGTCCGAGTTGCGGTTCCTAACAATTAAATGACGTCAGAGTGGCGGTTCCTTACAAAATTTTTTTTAAAATATTTTATTATGCAAAAAAAAATTAATTCGAATTATTTTATACTCATGTTTAAAAATTGCCTAGAAAACCGCTTCGTAAAACAAACGACTTCGAGTGAACTGCGTATAACGTGAAGCGGGGAGCATGCTCGTGATATAAACTTATAGAATGGAATTATCAATCAAATTATTTATATTTGATTCGAATCAAATATTTATGTTATTTGTTAATAAAATCATTATGTGGTTAGATTTGTCTAATATTCGATTCGGAAATTAATTTTTTTTTAAAGGTGAAGGAATGGGGAAAAAATAATTATAGAAATAATAGAAAACAAATAGCTTCATAAGGACTACTTTAAATAACTTTACAAATAATTTCGAATATTTTCGAATACCAAATAATTCTATAGAATAATGGGTCGGTTATTATTCCACTAATAAATTTTTTAATTCATATTCGATTTGAATCGAATAACTTTCTTATTCGTCTTTACTGACTGACTGACTGTTACTCAAAGTAAATATAGCGCCGCTACTATATCGCGCTACTTTCAATAACTACTTTAACAGCATTGATATTAATGTCACCTGAACGTTCTTATCTAACTATGCAATAAAGAAAAAAGCCCGTCAAATAATGACAGGTGAATCGAAGATTCCGTCTTTTGATTAAGAAGGGTGAATCAAAAACTTGTCATTTTGCAACCCTCATAATAAATGCATCTGACCTGATAGAAATATAGGTCGTGATATAATGTACACTTTAAACAAATAATAATTTATAATATTTTTTTGCATACATTTTCTTGTTCCTTGAGTTATTTATATTAAATACATTCTTCCAGCTATGACTTGACCCCTCAGCAGGTAGTTCTGTACGGCCAAAGCATAGGTACCGTCCCTACCATCCATCTAGCCGGTTTGCCTCCTTCTCCTACATCCAGCCCTTCAGATCTCCTCACATCATCTAGGTTCGCGGCCGGAGTTGTCCTTCATTCACCCTTGGTTTCTGGGCTCAGAGTAGCTTTCCCTTTCCTCACTCAAATCAACCAAAATTCGCAGCACGCTAATCATGTTGGTAACGAAGATAATCTTGGCGGTCAAAATCACCTCATAGATGGTGCACCACATGCTCAAGGTTCGGTTTTATAAGATTTATCTTTATTTTCATTGGCTGGTGTGATTATTTGTATATTGGATTATAATAAATTCATTATTTTTTTTGGTATATACGTTGGCTTATCCAATCCCCGTTTTTCTTACTATTGAGCAGCTTATATTTCAAATCACAACTAAATTTTCTAGACATCAGAATAATCATGAAAACAATTTTTTTATTCAATCGAATTTTATAATCATCTATATCGCCATAGGGTGATTTTAACTATTTTCGGCATTCCCCACTCTAGCCAAGATCACTTCCATAATATCTTTAATAATGAAAAAAAATTTTACTTTAAGAAATTATGGAATCAAAAAGATTGTATAATTTTATTTTTTACAACACCTGACAATCGCCCCTATCCCAATTAATTACTCTATTTGTACATTAATTGCCTCACCAGACAACCCTCAGGATCCTTCCGCTACCATCGCCGATATCCTCCGCCCGCTTCCCAAATGGGCCTCGCGGCTTGACGCTTTTTACACTCCTGACCATGCACGCCGAGTGGCGTCCCGTCACGTGCTCATCATACACGGAACAGCCGATGACGTTATCGATTGCGGTCATGGCCGAGCTCTTCACTCCTTGCTGCCCCGACCCGCCCTGCCCCCACTTTGGGTTCCTGGGGCCGGTCACAATGATATAGAAAGCCGACCGGAGTACCTGAACAGACTCAAGAAGTTTTTTAGCGAGGAGCTCGGGTGAACATGTGACAATAACCACCCCTCTCCCACCAATTTTGATTCATAATCCCTTCCTTTTATTATACCCCGTCGAATATCCCGCACTGTTCAGTACGTAATCTTAAACCTACAAGGACTAGGCTCAATTGATTCTAATGGGTGAAATTGAAAACATGATACCATTGTACACCACCTGATAATATGAAATTTTATATAAAACTATTATTGGATACATAAAATATCGCACAATATGTGAGACTACACATTTTTCTGGCCCTTGGTCTTTATTATGCAGATTATGACACATGGCGAGAATATATCATAAAGCTTGGGAAGGGGTTAAGATTTATTATCATGTTTTTTTTTAAATTATCTTTCCGCATCACAGATGCAATTTGACATTATTTATCTATTGATTTTTCAATCATTCAAAATGCGTGATAATAAATCAAATCAATTTATTGATTTGTACATAAATTTATCTTATTTTTCTAATTTTTTTATTGTTCTTATACTTTTACATTTTCTTTGTGCCTAGTTTTAGAGAAAAAAAATTCATTGTATTTTTAAATTGTAATTGAGGGCCTGAAATTTTTTTTTACAGAAATTTAAAAACGTTAAGGGTCCAATCTTCCCAGTTCCAAATTTTCAGAAATTCTAAAACCCTTTACCCATAAAAATATATATATTTTTAAAAAAATTTTTTCCAGATTTATAAAAGTTGAAATCATTAAATTAAATTACTTTTATTGATTAATAAAATATTTGTTTAATTTTAGTATTATTCGACAAGATCTAATGTATCGCATTTTTTTTCAATAGAGTTTAAGAATTTTAATTATTTTTTTTGTATGTAATATATTCAAAATATGTCAACAAAACCATTATAATTTATTTTTCTTTTAAAAAAAATTATATTCCCTAGTGTTTTTTTACTATGCAGATTGCCTTGTTTATAAAATGTAATTTATCGAATATTCGATTAACTTAATGAAGTGAAGAATTCATGTGAATAAATGCTTTAAATATCACTAATTCCCTCCTCCTCACTCAATGAATGCAAACTCTAGAATGTATAATAAATTAAAGTATTTTTATACTTTTTAAAATGCATTTTATAAATCTCAACCATAAAAATAATAATGATATTTTGATATATTTTTATTCTTGATTATTATTTTATTCCGCGTGAATGTGTTGATATATTTCTATATGATCCGAATTTCATGCTAGCAAATAAAATTATTGAGAATATGTATTACTTTATCTTACTTTTTTTTCTATATTGAAAAATTAATATAGTTTAATTTTTTTATAAGTAGTTTTTATAAAATTTATTTTAGATTTTTTATAGAATGATATATTTACTTTAGGATTTAAATTTTATCAAACTTGTAGTTTTGTAAATTAACATTTTTTGTATAATATATTGAAATCGAATAGATTTATCCCTAATGATTTGCTGAGTTTTTACAGTGCCACGAATGCTTGTATCGAGTACTTTATCTTTTGACATTTTTAATGAGATACTTGTATAAAATTCAATAATAATGCCTTTTTATTTTAATTATATATATATGATATTATCAAAATTATCATTTATAGTCGTCGAAATATCTTGTAATTTCTAATGGATTTGAATTTCGGTTAATTCCTGAGGAATATAATATAGAATTTGATTTCCGCTTGTCTGGCTATTTTTCTTCGTATTTCTGTTGGTTGATTATACATCTTTCCATACCCACTCTTATTTTTTGGTCACGCAACTTCAGTTATAACAGTTGAAATAATGGATTTTTTTGTCCACGAAATTTTCTGACAACCTTATGTAAAGGAATTCGTTATTTATGAAAAGTAACTTTAATGCTACTTTTTTTGAATCATAATTGGAATTTGTTTTGGATCAATTTAATTTACTAGATAAATATTAAATTATCACTATTTCTGAATATTTATCAGAGTGATTTAAATGAAAATAAATACAATTTAAATAAATATAATTTTATTATACCACAATATTTACAATTATAGTATAACATAGCAAAAGATAGTAAAATATATTTTTTAAACATGTTTTCATATCCTTTTTATAAAAATATGGGCTACAAGACGGGCCATCCACTCCGATATCTAATTTGAATGATTTTATAGGAATTATTTAATATATATTTAAAATAACTCGTCTTTTCCTGATCTACAAATTTATTTAAAAATATTTTAAGTCATAGGGGGGAAAATTAAATAAATTAGCCTATACAGCGTCTACATGAGGGGGAAGAGTTAGGAAATTTGCATCCTATTTATTGAGGGGGTAGAGGGTAAGCTGCTTTAATGGGGGTAGGTTAAATTTTTTGGGGGATTATCTATTAAATTTTGAGATTAAATAGGACAATTTATTGCTGTAAAAATTAATACTTTTATTATAGAATTATTATAATACAATTATCGACCAAATCTATATATTGCAAACAATCATGCACATTGTTTTCCAAATAAAACTTTCTGCTATCCTTTTAAATTACATTTAAAAGGTTTAGATATATCAGCAAGCTCATAATGTTATAATAATTAATTCATTGTAAATAATGTAGATTTTGATTGAATTTACTATAAAAAATAAATTCTTTATAATCACAAAATTAGTTGGTAGAGATAGATTAATTTAAGTTATCTTTATAAATTCTCTGAAAAGATTATCAATATAATTATAAAGGTCAAAATAAAAAAGGTATGCAAAAGTTTTTTAAGGGGGTTTGCATCCAATAAAAAAAGTATCATGAAGACGCTGAGCCTATATATAGGGTTTCTAGATCAAAATTTTTAAACTGCGAGTAAACATTTCTGAACCTTCTGTCTGCAAAGGCCCTAGCTTTTGCCGAGGAAGAGATAGGGCTTAGGCGTATTCAAATTTTTTTATATTCCTAGTTATTTTATTATACTTTACAAAATGTCCTTTTACTTTAGTACTTCCAAATTAAGGTGTTGGTTGTATTTTAATATATATATATATATAGAAAAGTTAATTAATTAATCTACATTAAGTAAATTTCGCGTTATCAAATTTTATAAAATAAGATATCTTCTAAATTTAACAGCATAAAATTAAAAATATTAGGTAGATTCCTTGTCATTTATATAAAATGGATATTTATAAATTAAACTTTGAAGATCTCTATTAAATAATACTTGATTAAAACCTATATCATAATAATTTTAAAACTAACTTTCAATAAATAGAGCATGATTTTGGTTTTTTTTATCATTTCTTTGCCAATTTTTTCTTATAAATATGCTAAAAATTGTTATCTACCATTGTAAAAATTATTTAATGTCTGAGAATTTTAAAAATGATTGCAGGAGATTTCTATGCGTATTAAGGAAAATATTATGGGAGTATCTTGCTAATGGGAAGTCTACTCAAAAATTAATACATTAATATTGCCCTCCATTATAATTTTCTTTTACAGGAGGATGTTAAAAATTAATTGGGAACATGTGGATTGCGTTTGCATTGATTTTGACTCAACTCTTTGTGAAACTGAATCACTAGATGATTTAGCTGAATTTTTAGGAAAAAGGAATGAAGTTGAACAAATTACTAAAAGGGGAATGGAGGGCGAACTTAAGTTTGAAGATTCTCTGGAAAAAAGAATGAATATTCTATCAATAAATCAAAATCTATACAATCAATTTTTGAAACAAAATAAACTAAAATTAACCATTAATAGTCAAAAATTTATACAATTTTTAAAAGAGCACGATATTCCAGTATATATTATCTCCGGTGGATTCAGTGATATTATACACTCTTTAGTCAAATCTTTAGGAATAAAGAAGGAAATGATTTTTGCTAATAATATAATCTTTGATAAATATGGTAAAAATTTTTTACATAGTTTTAAAAATATAATATAGGTAACTATCTTGATTTTGATCGCACAAAAATGACATCTTATAGTGGAGGAAAGGGAAAAGTTATTCAATATTTAAAAGATGAATTCAGATATCAGAATATTTACATTATAGGAGATGGAGTTACAGATTTAGAAGCATGCCCACCTGCTGTATCATTTTGATGCTAAATACCAATTTATATTTTACTTATAGAATGGATTTATTGGATTTGGTGGCAATGTGATTAGAGAAAATGTTAAAAATAGAAGCAAGTGGTTTATATATGATTTCCAAGAATTGTTAGAAGAATGAAAATGATTTTATAGATTAATATATTGATAATAAAATTAAAAAGCCATATACCTATATAAATTATTTTAATTATATTTATATTAAGAAAAGCATTAAATAATTTAAATAACCATTTTTCTTTTTTTTTATGTGATACAAAAATTAAGATTATATTATATTTAAAGTTAACTAATTTGTTTAAATATTTTATCTCATCTGCATATATTTTGAACTTTTTCAGTAACAGTTTTAATCTAATTAACCCATATTCAGGGCAGTTACAAGAATTTTCTTGGAAGGGGGGAGGGGAATTTTGAAAATTTAACATTTATCTTGAAGATATTATTAAATATTTATTAAAACTAGTGTCAAAAATAAAAGTCAGCTCAACTGAGCCTGCTAACTGACCAATAAGATTTTAGATAGATTGTTTTGTAAATTATATTTAGGCTAGGGCTGAAAATTGTGAACAAATTTCAAATTTATGCCTTCTCTCATCATAAAAAATTATTAAAGGCCAGGACAGAAAACTTTTTAGCTTGGCCAGTTAGGCAAATAAATATGGACTAGGTAACCTGATTGAAAAAAAACAGGTCCCAACCTTGCAAATTTAATTTAAAATATTTTTCAAGTGTGGACCCAAATCAGCTGATATTTTTAACCTCACTCAACCTGCATTCCTTATATTAAAAAAATTTCAAGCTCAGGCTGGGCTTCGAGAAACTTGTGTGGCTCTAGTGCCAACTTTAAGAACTTAAGAATTAACTTTAAAACAACTTGAACCAACAGAAAAATTAGTTTTCAAGAAAAAAGAATTTGATGTATTTTTTGTATCAACTTTATATATTAGAAGTATGATGCAGCCTGTTCCATGCCAATTCAGCATAATTTATCCTAAAACACATTTTTACTTTATCGGGACAGGATTTTATAGCGAAACCCTTATGAATCAATAATCACGAAAGTTTTTATGGCGATGTCATGTTTTTATTGCGAAACATATGTCGCAAAGATATTGTGGCGATGTCAATATCGGCAATAATTGCTAACAGTTATTTAATATTTTTTTTGAAAAATAGGTACATACAAGATTGATTCATTGGACTTTTGTTATAAATTTAGGTATGGATTGACATAATAATTCCTAGACTGATGCTGCATTTGAAACATCGTTGAATGCAAATCAGCTGGACATGTCTTTTCGGTAACCCACATAGTAATTATTCTCATGCTAAAAAACTACTGTTAAATTGATAAACTTGCTTCCTTATTATCTCGATGGTCAGACACTTTAATAAAGTTTGCGTCAGACATAGAAATAAATTGGCCCTCTCGTTTAAAATTATGGATAACCAAAATGGCGTCCCCAGCTGTTTTTCATTGATGTACACTTTTAATATATGCATCATCAGTCTAGGTATTATATCTATGCCATTAGTATGGATCAAAATTTTTATTATATAATAATCCTTATTTTTAATGTCATGATTGGGTTTTTTTTTGTTTACGCGCAATAATTTTGTTTTGTAACAATTGCGCGAGAATCTGGTTACATTAATTATAAGACACATGGTGAGTCCTGTTAGTTTATTTTAAAGCATTATATATCGATGTTTAACATAATTATTATTTATTTGTAAAAATATCTAATTCATAATTTCTTTAAATATGACAATCGATTAATTTTCCGAGAAAATAAAAAATAAACATTAAAATATATATAATAAATTCTTGGGGAAGAAAGGTATCTTTTATCGAGATATTAATTGTAAAATAATATTCTTCGGCAATGTAAAATATAAAAATCGATATTTTTCAAAGACCCGCGGATGTACTATATGCACCACCGGGCTCGGATTTTTTCAGCCCGGGTAACGTTTTACAATTTCCGGCCCGGACCGGATTTTTTTAAAAATATATTTATTTTTATAGCTAATAATGGCAATTTCAGATATTTGTTTTTAAAATATGCGGCCGGGTCTGAGTATATTTTTAAAAAAATAATTAGGATCCGGCACTGGTATTATTTAAAACAGGCCAGACCCGTGTAACCGAGCCCGTCCTGAACCTCTGATTTTATCGATAATAATATTGTTCACAAAATAAAAAATTAAATAAATAATTCAATATTTATCATATCTCTTAGATATAAAATTGAGATGATCGAATTTGTATTTTTTTCGAAAAAATTTTGGATTTACAATGATAGAAATAATGTTATAAGAATAAAAATTAATTTTTTAATAATTAAGTATAAGAAATTAGGTGGAAACAAAAGCAATATTTAATATAAAACCAAGAGACTAAATGTATATTTATTATATAAATCTATTTTTTTTATTTAGTAATTTTAAATTGGAAATAAATATATATTTACTTAGTTTTGTATAAATCAAATTATACTTTAAAATTTATTTAATATATCTCCATAAGGGGGCGTTAAATGCACATATTTTAAAATATAAAACAAGAATGATTATTGGTTAACTTCACGCCCAACTCCTGGTGGGTGATGAAATTGCACTTCTTGCAATTTCTAGGCCTGGTAATGAATGAATGATTATTGGTTAACTCTTTTTTTTTAAACTTTAGGGTAGTTATTGTTAAACGGCTGATTCAAGCCGGTTTTTAAAAATGGCTAATATCACGTTGTGCCGTCCGCTTACTCAAGTTTTTCTTATTCGATTGTTGATATCTTCCCAAAATGATTTAACGCCAAAATTCGATTAATTTCAACTTTATTTAAATCAAATAATAAAAAAAAAATTAATTAAAAACAAAATAAAATAGTAGTTTAAAAAAAATGAATTCAAAAAAAATGAATTGATAATTTACAATTTTCGCTTCCCTTTTATAGGGAAGCAATAATCATCACAAATAAATAATTAAATCCCATCATCATAATGACTTTACAATAAATAACTTTTATAAATCTAAAAATAAAATGTTAACGCGATTAAACTAAAACATAAAATTATAAAAATAACAATGACTCACCAATTTAACTAAAACATAAAATTATAAAAATAAAAATGACTCATCAAACGCAATACATTCTGACTTTACCAAAAATCGAATTTTACAAATCAAAGTCTCCCAATTATGACAGCTAACTCAATATTTTATCCAGAAAAATATTACGCAAGGATATTTTGCTCCATAGATGGTACGAAGGTTTAAACATTTATTAGCCAAATCTCTAAGCACAGGCAACATTTTTCTTGACTAAAATATTTAGTTAACTGTTTTTAAAAAATCCCTCTAAAAACGAGGCGTTTATCGACATTACTTTAGGGTATAGATTACGCGCTAAAAAAAATTTTAAAAAAAATGATAGGTTTCTTTGACATTTAATGAGTAAGACAGAAAATCGAAAAATAACCCCATATTTGTAAAGACGCACATTGCTGGCGTTAATGATAGAAATCTCAGTATTTTTGTTTTCTATTACCACAAAAAATATTTTTTAAAATATTGCGATTTGATCGATTTCAGACTCAAAACTGGACCGATGATTAAATTCTGCATTGATGGGTGATATCCATTGAAAAATGTTCAATTTTGTTTTATGCATCTATAAATTGCGTGTAAAACATTATCTCCCCCCAATAAAATGTTTTAAAAATATCGTGAGTATACCTATAATGACCCTATGTCCAATGAATTGCTGGCTTTGCTCATGGAAAAATCTTCAATTTTTGTTCCTATGCGTATACTTCCGTGTTGAGCATTATTCTAAATAATACTGTGATTTGGACCGATTGCCCCATCAAAAACCATCATTCAATAAATATTTGATTGGCTAGTAGTATCCAATGAATACAGTTCATTTTTTTGATGTCGCTACACGATAAACATTATCCCAAAAAAAAATTGTGATTTGATCTATAACCGACCCCGTGACTAAATATACTGTATTTGCTGATGATATCTATTTTTGGTGTAAATGCGTATAAGTTTACGAGTAAACATATTTCTAAAAGATATTTGAATTTGATTGGTCAACCATGTTGGTAATATCCATTTTTTATGTCGCCATAATTACGTGATAAACATTTGTACCAAGAAAAATAATGTGATTTGACCGATAACAACCATAATAACTCCTGCTATGAGTCATTGCATCAAAACTTTACTCTCTAAAAACAAAACTCCCCTAAAATTGTGTCTATAGAATTTACTCCTCGAAAAAAAGGGTTATACATAAATAGATAATTTTATTAAATTAGTTCAAACTAAAATACATTTTGAATTCGATAAATATAGCAAAAATAATTAATTACTACAAAGGCCAATAAAGATGTATGTATGTCAGCGTCAATGTATTACTTTTTTTTCGACATTAAATCATTCTTAGAGAGTGATTTTTTTTAAGATTTAAATATCGGATTTTACCGATTGGTGTTAAATGACAAAGTGTTCTAGTCTAGACTTTCAAGCTCTTATCTGGAATCGTTTTCGTCTTCATATGAAGTTAACTAAATAAAGTCATCAAAGTTATATGATATTTGTTTAAACAATATATGTTAATAGTCTATAATTTCTCGCTAAAACGTGGACAGATACTTTTTCTTGAAAGGAAATATCTCGTATTTCCTTATTTTTCCCGTTATTCGTATCTTTTTTCCCAAATTTTCCTAGAAATTTCTTCCAATAATTGTTTCTTGGGAAATTTTCAACCCCGTAAGTTTAGCTTCCATTTTTATTGCACAATCCATTTTTAATGTAAATAGAATTTATAAAATATTTTTGGCAAAAACAATGTAAGCCTACTTTTTTTTTTATCCTTACTTGTTCACACCAATACTCCCTGGTATTTTTATTTATCACATTATTAGGGAGAAAATTAAGCCAAATAGGTTAGCGATTGTAATTAAGCCTACTATTTTAAAACAAGCCATTACAAAGTAATTGTATTATTATTCATGGTTCCATATAATATATAGTAACAATGATCGGTCTCTTAATTTGTTGAATGAAGGATTAGAAATGTAAGCAGGGGTTTTCTATGTATTTACTAAATATTTATTCATAAGTTACTCCAACGGAGTATAGCTATCGAGAC